TCGAGGGCTCTTCCCCTTTCCCTCGCCCCTTTCGTACAATTCTTTAATGATAGAACGATTAATGCAAAAATTAATTCAATAAAAATTACTGAAAAAAAAAATAGATTTTGGAATGGAAACGAAGTTCATAATTAATTTATATTCTGATTTAATTCGATGGACGAATTAAAAAAAAATGGTCAACCGAATTTTTCAAAGCAATGAAAAAAATCAGATTTATATTTGCCAGAATTTTGCACAAAACTTCGGATAAACTCCTTATGCCCAGGGCTTTCTCATTTTTTTTTCTCGTGAGTAAGGAATTTGCCAAGAAGCAAGTTTCATACTCACACTTTGGTAAAGTAATTTTGATTAATCAGCAGTAATAGCTTTTTAGTAATATGACACAGGAGTAAAAAGTCTGACAGACCCAGTGCCAAAGGTGAGGAGGACAAGGGGTTGGTGGGGTGTTTTCAGAGTTGAACTCCAGTAAAAGTTGTAATTACAATAAATCGAGTTGTAATTGCTGTGGCAATTACCGGGAAGTAAATACGCGACTGGTCGTAAATAAACCTGTGCTCTGGAGGAGTGAGGGCGAGGGTGGAGATGTGAGGGTGAGGGTGAGGGTTTTCGCAGTGGTATGGTTCGTTGGTCGTTTGTTATAGGCGCCTGGCCATTACGCGTTCGTCCAATGAGCTTTTTGTGTTTCATCGATGCACAAATGGCAGAAAAAGGGTGAGCCAAGGGGGCTGGGGAGGTCGACTGGCAGGCTTTAACGATAACACAATAAATTGTAAAGTGATTCCGGGATTATTTATTAAAGGAGGTACTCACATGCGCTACGCCAGGAGATTAAATGTCACGCTCATAATAATAGTACCGGCCAAAAACGACGAATTAATAACAATACGACGGTGTTATCTATGTGATGAGATTTTCACGGTATTTTATGCCCAAGTGAAAGGAAAAAAATTCATTTTTTTCCATCCTCCCAAATTCTTGTAATTAATATTCGTAATTATACCGATTGAAACAATCAAAAGAGAACCGCGACGTAAAAATTCTCCAATTCATCAATTTTGCAAATCGAAGTTGCGAAATAATAATAAATCGAGATGATCCAATAAAAAAAATTGGTAGAGATAATACAAATAAAAATCCGGTTCATTGTTGATTCATTCATCAAATCATTCATTCATTCATCAAATAATTAACGAATGACTCAATTTTCGAATATTTTTTTCCATTAATTAGAAGAACTCCTTTTTCTACGCGACTTTGCTGAAGAATTTCTCGCTAATTGAGAATTGGCAGATTCGTGGATATAATTAGTATCAGAGTCAAGATAACGAAACGTTTTCGAAATAACGAAAGACTCTCGGAATAATGAAATTCTGTTGCGATAAGTTTTTTATGGGAGGAACGTTTGTGGTGTTTTTTTTTTGGGTGACTGGAGGGCCTGAATGTGAAGCGGTTTGTACGATGTGTATATAACGTTAATTAAGTAGCAATCTCCGGAGATCACCAGATTTCCCGAGAGTGATCTCGGTGTATATCAGGGCAACGGTAGAATTAAAGCCAGAAGCATTAAAGCGGCATTCGAGTGGCACCTGACTTCCAGGAGATGGGGAATATATACATGGGGAATATACAATATCCACATGGGTAGACCAGTGATGTTTCCGGTGGATAAACCGGTCCTCGAGAGAGAAACCATCGGTGATCTCGACAGGTGAAATAAATAACAAGCGTCTTTGGAATCTGATCTCGTTCTTTATGCTGTGCCGCCATGCATCGGTGCCTTAAAACATTCGGGGGGGATTTAATGATTTACATACCTATTGAGGTAATCTTCTCACTGTTTAATGGGGTGGCCAATTCGAAAACAATAAATATATTCAGAAGAGATGAGAAATTGCTTTTCTCGTTGATGATGTTCAAGTAATGCCTGATTTTTTATCATTTCAATTATTTTCACTTGACTTGATTTAACCGAATGCTTGTAACAAATTTAATAATTAATATCTGGTTGAAGTCTCAAATATCCTAGACGTGAATATCTGCGATGACATTATGAAATGAACTTTGGCATGGAAATATCAATGCGAAAATAATCTCTGGCAGTTTTATTGTCATCTCCAAAATAGAATCTCTTCACTCTAAGTAATTAAGTCGTACCCACTAAATCCTCTCCCCCGCGAACTCTGAGTCTCTCTCAAAAAGGAATAAGGAGAGATTGAATTCCCGTAACCTTTCCATTCCTTTGTCTCTCCTAAATTCTATTTACCCTCCTGGAATTCCCCTGGAATGCATTTTTCTGGCAACTCCTCGAGTCTTTTCTGTCTCCATCACACATCGAAACGAGTGCTGAATGGGTTCGTTACCTTCGTAATTTAGTTTTTCTTCAAGTACTCGGCAAGTAACGGCGTCATGCGTGGGCTTGAATTGCTCGTTAAGTCTTCCATGGCGTGGGTGACCTTTCGAAAAACTTGAAAAAAAAATAGCAGAATAAAAAAAGACAGGGGGTTTGAACAAAAGTGGTGGGTGGAGGGGATGCAGCATGTGGCTGAGACAAGATGGAAAATAAATTAGAGATAATAGAGATAAAAATGTCGCGAGGATAACAGATGCAAAATATTGTTTGCATGAGGGAAGTGAAAAGAATAATCATGATAAAAAATATTGTTGAGGAGGTTGGTTCTTGCAGGGCGGAGAATTAATAGCCAGTTTGGTGTTAATGGCCGTCAGAAGTTGGAGGAAGGAGCATCAATCTGATTTAAACGCTCCTCTCTTCTTTATTTTATTCTTGTGATGCAAGACGTCATATAATTAATGGGTTCAAAAGGAGAGACATGTCGCATGGCGCCGGGACTGGATTTAAAGAAAATAAAAGAAATTTTATATGAGAAAGAAGAAAAACGTCAGGAGCAAGACCACTTGGGGTCCACCAATAATTGACGATGCGATAAATATTTAAACGTGTAGTTTTAACTGACGGATCTGATATCCCGTTGATATTTGGCGGGGGTTAATTGGGGTAGATGCAGAGAAGAGCAGGTGGAGAGTCCACTGACAAAATTCAATTGAAAAATTGAATGAAATCCAAAGAAAATAGAGGTACAAGTGGGAGAGATGGCACTCATGTATTTTTCTTTCTGAATGGATGTTGTTCGCCACACGGTACGTGAAATGTATTCGTGATTTTTCGGGCTTTGATGTCTCCTCCATTTGCCCATGAAAAAGCAATGGCGAGCGAAAAGACAATATTGACGGTGCGATTTCTTTTTTAGTCAACTGAAAATTTATATTCGTATATTAATTTCATATTATATTTACAGATATCCTCGAAATTCTTTTAGATGGATTTATAAATTACGTTTATTTGGATTTTTCACATTTTTATTCTGTTTGTTTGTCATTTGTGATGTTCATTAAAAAATTATGATGGCAACACAGGAAAAAGGCACTGGCTTGGGGAGAATTTCAGTGCCAGCACTCGAAATTTTATTGGATTACAAGCGAATCTTTTTTTCATTAATTAATCATTTATCCACAAATCCCTGAGATTTGTCAGGGAGTGGCATAATAATATTTTATTCTCTGTGGTAATTTTTTTTCCAAGTCGACCAAAAATAGTAAAAGCTGCGTATTATATCTTAAATCGACAATTTTCCCCAAGAGATAAATCATTAGCGAATAATTCGAAGGCGAAGGGGCAATTTAAAATTTTTTAATGTCCTCGACGTACAATTCTGTATTATTACCTCAGGAATACTGAAAAAAGGATTCGATTTATAAAAGTTTTGCTCACGATTGACGATAAAAAAAAATTCACCATAAATTTCATTCCCACCGTTGAATGCAAAATAGGGTAAATACAAACATGGGAGTTTGAATATTTCGAAGGAAATTGAAGTCTGATGGATCTAGAGCGTCTCGTTCTTCCCCAATATGACAACATCTGAGAACCTTTCATTTTCATACTCTTTACAAAAATCCCCTCCCTCCCCGCGAAAACCCCTCTCACAACAAAGTTTATGGTCTTATCCTCGTTCACGAGAGTTAAACCTCTATTTTTCTCAACGATAAATGAAATTGTTTTGTGTCTTGAGGTACAGAGAAAACACCAGGCCATGCTCCAGCGTTCTTCGAACTTCTCATAACTTCCATATAATCCTCGAATATCCACCCGCCCCTTCAACCAAGAGGAAAAAACGCATAAACGTTGTAACAGTTTGAAGATCCCATAAACCACGAAAATTGTGTCGAGCAAAAAAAGAAAAAGATGGTAAATAGCCTGTGACGAATGTATTTATTAGCGTTCAACCAAACTTCTGAGTAATCCCCATGTTTTCAAAGTATGAGAACCAATTTATTTGTCTCTACTACAACCAATGAAAATTTTTCAATTTTTTGAAAGTGCATGTGATTAATCACGATAATGAAAATCATGATCCACCAAATCCTAATAAGTCGCGGTATCTTATCAGCATCACCCCATCATCCGCTACATCAGGCGTATGGGTAGCATCCGTAAGAGATGAATAGACAGAACAGATCCATGGAAACAGCGAGAAATGTGATACAAGAGGATGGCCAACATTGTTGGCGGTGGATGAATCTCGTTAAATCTTGATAACCCCATCTACATGTTAATCCGATCAGGTAGACTGGCACTACGACATGAAAACCCCTCCCGCCCGTTTACCATGCGCAAAGGCTATTACACCATCTACTTTGTGGTCTCCAGGGTAGTTACAGAGAAAGCACTCTGGCTTCAATCCTGGGACTTCACTTGAGCTTGCTACGAGCTACCTGGGACTATTTCTCACTGGTTCATCTGCTCTCTCTCCTGTTTTTCTCGTTCCTTCCCCGAAGTCGCATTCGAGGTTTCCACCTCTTATGAGACCTATCTCCCTCTCTCTATTTTTCATAGCTCTTACCTTTGAACAATTTAATAGTCGCTAACTACTCTCTCTCTTGTAAAAATACTCATGCTCTCTTTATTTACTGTGTTTCAGTGCCTATCGCTGATGTTTATGGCGTGGCTGGACATAAAGTGCAGCTACCGTGCGACATTCTGACGAGAAGAAACGATCGAGTTGACATGGTACTCTGGTTTAAGGGCGAGGGTGGTCCACCCATTTACACGTAAGTTGAAAATCATTCTTTCTCTCGCTGATCCATATTTCTGGAGTTGTTCTATGAGTTGTAAAATATTTTATTGCTTGCTCATCGTGAAAACTTGAATTTCGTTGTGATGGAAGAAACGTACTACCTGGTGACTTACGTAATCGTGAGATCGAATGATAATAAAATAATTTCGATGTCGGATGGAGTACGCAGTATCAATAGCCAAACGAGAAATCATGAAAAGCAGTACATAAATTGTTTTTATTTTCCAACACCAAAAAAGTTTCTCTCCCTGTGCATGAAGAAAGATTCAATTATAATAGCGGTGAATTATTGAAATCCTGAGGGAGTGGAAAATTTGAAAGCACAAGTTGCTTTGGCAGTTTTGGCACTACCACGTCACGAGGAGTAGTTGTCGTGCAATCTACACCATCGTGTCACAGTCGCGCGAAGCAATTTAACTTTCAGCGAGAGGTAAAAGCAAGAGGCGAAACAGAGTTCTCTAAACTCGGACTTGTGTGACACTTTGCGATACTTAATATAAATTTCACGGGCATTAAAACACGATCGAAGACTCGAAATGCGAGAGGGTCTCCCGACCCCTTGCGATGTGGATTGATTCTTTGATGGTGTTTATATATCACTTTGTCTTGGTCCATTGGATTCCAAGAGGGAGAATCGATGGAGAAGCCAATCTATATCGACAGCATTGACCTCAACCGCTCAATCTCACCCACAGATTCGATGTACGCCATAAGCAGTTCAACAATGCTGAATTATGGTCATCGCCCCGGGTTCTCGGCCAAAGGGCATACTTCATGACTGCCACACATCCGGCTCACCTCAGCATTGATAAACTTGAGACTGCTGATGCTGGATTGTATCGATGTCGAGTAGATTACAGCAATTCACCCACTGCCATGCATCACGTTAATCTCGTCGTCATAGGTACGTAAATTGATAAATACCGACATGATAAATCGACTTTTAATTCATGTTGGGGTAATTTTTTTATTCGAGAAAACTTTTTCCCTCATTCAATTTGATTGCTTCATTAAACTCAGGCTCGATAATTGTTCAAATTTCTTGATGTCCAGTTCCACCGGAAAAACCGATAATCCGGGATCAGTCTTCTGGCAATATATCTCACATGGAGGAAACGTACAACGAAGGAAGTGATGTGACACTCATCTGTGAAGTTCGAGGTGGCCGACCTCCACCTCGATTAACCTGGTACTACGAAAATAATGTTTATGATCTGTCGTACGAGTACAACAGTACCACTGGCATTACAACGAATTTCCTCTATTATCCTAACATTGGACGACAGCATATTAAAACTAGGCTTGTGTGCCAGGCCAACAACACCAATCTCGTGCCACCTCTCACCAAGCTCGTGATCCTCGATGTTAACAGTGAGTACAAAAACAATGACTCCGTCATTTTACCCTCATTATTATTTTTCCATTCATCGCCACAAAGTTGTTCCAACGAAAAAAAAAAACACGCCATTCAAACTACCCGTTGAAACATATCTAGAAATGATGGGGATCACAATTTTATTTTTACTTTTACTTTATTGTATTTTATTCAGGAATTTATAAATTTGGTACACACGTTCTATTAGTCTCCCGAGATTTTAAAAGGTCTAGGTCTTTTTAAACCCATTCATCAACATCAGCGGATGTTTCTTGTCATTTTATTGTAATTATGATTATATTCCGCGTTGTTACGTGCGTGGACTGAGAATTGGGAGAGACTCAGAATTAGTAGAAGAATGGGAAGACAAATTGTCTGTTAAAGACTAGATAATTGGCTGTACTAGCCAGCCCGTAGTAATCAGTCATTCGAAATATTCAAGTCGCAGTGTTCAAATGTTTGAGTTTTAATCTACCAGTCAATTTTATATTTGCCCGACATTCCGGGTTTTGAACTTGCCCCCGAGGCATTCAACTCTGTAAGATATCTGTGAATATCTTATTGTCGGACGTAAGCTAGATTTTTTTTCTCAGTAAATTACGTGACTTGGCTGTTGTAAAACCATCGAAGAAAATCCATTCAATGCATAATAACAAAAACTTCTTCATCCTCGACAATCGACCCATTAAAATTGCAATACCGTATGCGTCAAATTGTGCATTGAGTGTACGTTACCAGTGAGTAGACAACAAAAGCGACAGGACAAGAGGCGTATCACGTGTTGAACCTGTTAGTCCCATGGTAGATTTGCCGCAAGAGATAACAGTAACGCCTCTTGTAAGACGGATCAGTGAATTGCGTGTCGGTACCATTCTCTTATCCCCACCCCTTCAATTTGATTTTCATGTGTGCACCACTTGGTATCACAGCGACAGGAAATCCCCCGAACAATTCACCCCATAGCCTTACAAAAAAAAATAATCCGAGTGTCAGTGGCACTTAAGAATTCCACTGGGATTTTAAGAAGACCGAATTGTCGAATCTTGTGACAAACCCGAGGGCACGTGACGGTATTTAAAGCAAAGCTAGAAAATATTTTCACCCCTCGGTAAAATGCACGTGCATTGTTACGAGGGACAGGTGAATTTCTGGTGGCTTTTCACTCACGCGAATCTCAATTCCCCTGAGGGCTATTTGTAGGCGTGCAGCTTTTCGCAGGAGGGGTGAGAAAACAGTTATCTTGATTTGTATAATAAAAAGATAGGGCGAGGCATTAATGATGACGGATTAATGGCACATTAGTGTAGGATTTATCTGATGATTTTATCTTCAAGTTGGATATCCGTGGAAAATTTTGGATTAGTCCGGGCGGTTGATGGAGAGATAAAATTGCTTAACAGAAGATTTACGTTTGTCATCGGTTAATCACTAGGATGATCTGAATATTTTCTATCTCTTACAATTAAATAAATTATTAATTGTGAGAGAAAATAAATGATTAAATAATTGTAAATTTGGTTTTCCGAATATATTAAAATGTTTTCGTGAAAAAATAAAATCGAAATCGACCGAGCGCTGAATCCTCACGAGAAAACAACAGTGCAACTTTAAACCGTCGAAATGCACCCATGTTGTTTTTAATGGTACGTTTACCACTAAATGTTGAAACAAGCCCACCACGATATTACCACTCCTTTACATTTGTTAATAACAGTGAGCATGAAATGCGTGGCACGCAGGTTAAACGCATGGCTGGATGTTTGCCCAAGTACGAAATAATAGTGGAGTATATTTGCCACCCAGACATTGCCATTATCACGAGGAGGGGCACCGTGATAAGAGAAATATTTGCCTCATAATGATTTACCCCTCCTTTCCAAGCTTAATTATCGTAAAGCCCGTGTATTCAGATATCTCCTCCGTCGAAAGTACTTCACCCAGGAAATACACTAATTGTTGTAATTATGGAAACACGAAACACACGTTGGCCTCTTTTCAACCATTACCCGCTCTCCGTCGTCTTCACCCCACGAAGTAAGACCTGAAATTAAATAATTAAGATTTATCTCTCTGTCGTGCTGTGAGAGGTGCCAGGAAACTTTCGTCCCACCCGTCTAATTTCGGATATTTTACTGGTACCACGGGGTTTCCCCGTTCTTTCTGATCCAACGTCACCGATTATCGTGCATCCATCGCAGACAATGATCAAATAACGAAAACAATCTAATGACTGCAATGATAACAGTAAAGCTGTATTTAATTTCCAGTGAAACCGTTGCTAGTGAAGATCATCACAAAAGAGGCTAAGGTATCATCGGGCAAGACATACGCTGTTGAATGCAGATCATGGGGTTCAAAGCCCCCGGCTGTGATGAGCTGGTGGAAGGACAGCAAGAAAATAACGGAAATTATTCAAAACGTGAGTGAAAAATATAACCAAGGAGGGTAGACTCCATCACTTACATCTTCCCCGCGCCACCCTTTTACTCGAGTCGATGTTATCAGACTGAAAGGTTTCGTATTTTTTTTTATTTTTATTTTCACCCTTCTCTTTCACTATCCTACCCACGTTGATGCGCAGTGGGTGATGATAATCCGCGTTGAGTTGGTGGGGTCGGAAAAGCCACGAGAACTGCACAACCCGTCCAACGTGTCGGTGGAAGAGATCGACTTTATCCCACTAATGCACTTGGCCAGTAAACCCGCCTGTGGAGTAGATGGTTTCTCGTCAAACACTCTCTGACTCTCAGACTCACTCTCACATCGTCATTCCCCTCTTCCCCCACGTACTCCTTTGTTCAGTCCCATTTGTTTGTTATTTTTTTATCCTTTACCATTGATTTTTCTTTTATGCTTTGATTTCTGTCGATATTCACCGTCGTAATCAATCAAGCATTTCCCAGCAAAAGAATGACGAACTGAATTCTCCGTCGCTAGCAGAATCGACTGCATCAACGTGTCAATTTAATTTCTCCTTTCTGATACGGATACGTCGGGTTTCCCCTCTCATCGTGCATCATGGTGTGATGCATGGAGACAGGCTGGACAGAGCTCAAACAACAATAAACCGAAACGAATGGATAAATTGTTGATTGAATCATCGAATGAATTCTCTTTCAATAACCATCACTGTTTGCCGTATAACAATTCCACATTGTTCTATTCAAAATGACACCTTCGCACTCACCATAAGCACTTATCTGATCCTCTAATTTCACCAGAAAAGCCAGAGGCTAACACGAACAACTTTTCTCAACAATCTCGCAAATCTCTCCCGACATTTCGTCGTTTTCTTCACGTCGTTCACTCCATCCCCACCGACAAACTTTTCAACCCAAAGGTCCGCTTACTTTTCCCATTTACCCCGAGTATCACGTTTCCACTCATCCTTCCATGTTTCTCTAGCTTCTCGAAACTGAAGGCTCCTTTTTACTCTGTCAACGTTGAATCCCAGTGTTGTGGAGGTTTACTCGAGCCCAAGGTATTGCAGACGACTCTTGCTGGCTCTCGCAAGAGAGGATGAGGAGAGAGTGCCGACTCCACTAATCCTTGTCAAAGGTAGACAGGGGAGTTTGGCAATGTAGACATAGAACTTGTACTCCACCGGAGGCTTTTCACCCACGACAAATTTTCATATTTCGTCCATATGAAAGGCTTGGTAATTGGCTGGCTCGTTTCATATACTCAACAGTGAGAAAATACTAGGGTCTCGTTAATGGAAGTCATAAACCTTGTATAATTTCAAGTCAGAGGCATGATCTCCGACACTTTCTGCAGACACCCCGTCGACATACCCTCAAAACCCATCGCGAATTAGTCCTGAATTCGTACAGAATTAATACTGAAAAAAAAAATACCCATGGACAACTCAATCAGGACTCTCCGAGTCTAAAAACCAATTATCCCAAATTGTCAATTTCACCTGGTATTTAGACAATTTTCTCATTCTTTTTTCTCCTCTATTCTCTTTATCCTCAACTTGCCATCAATACGAATCAGTTGGCTCATTCGTTTTCTATCCTCACGTAACCAGTATCAACCGGAGAACAATCAGAGCATCAGCATCCTCGAATTCGTGCCAAGCATCGAGGACGACGGCAAGTACCTGACTTGCCGTGCTGAGAATCCATCGATTCCCGACAGTATTGTGGAGGATAAATGGAGACTAGACGTGCAGCATCAGCCGGTGGTCAGCCTCAGAATGGGTGTTACACTGAATCCAAATGGTATCAAGGAAGGCGATGACGTTTATTTTGAATGCATTGTTAAGGCTAATCCGAGGGTTTATAAACTGGCGTGGTTCAAGGACGTGAGTACATTATTACATTCGCACGGCAGAGTACGCCAAATAATAAATAATAAAATTATAATAAAAAAAACTGTGGAATGTTTTACGCAGTAGATGAATAAAATAATTGAGAAATTTTATTTCATTCCGATGTATTTCGATGGAATATTTTTACACTGGGTTACTCAGAGCCACCGCAGACAGAATTCGTGAAGAACGGAATAAAGTGAAATGTGAGACCAAGTGCAATGCCTAGTTTGCTCTGTCTTTTCGAATCCAGTGAGCTGGACGAATGGAACAAGCTAGACATTACATTTCGCTCTACTCGCTACTTTACACCGTACTCCTCTAAATCTATTACATTTCACTTTTATAAAAATGCATCACGAGAACAAATTGCTGCATGATAAATTCAATATTTCCAAATAAAATCCAGTTAAAGATCTTGAATAATTGATTGAACTCTTGAACTATTCGTTATATTAACCCAAATGTTAATGAGCCCCTTCTATTTTATCCGATTTTTTCCCCTAACCAGGACAAAGAATTGAAGAACAACGCAACCGCAGGAATACTCCTGAGTGATCACTCGCTGGTTCTCCAGGGTATAACTCGAGGAGCAGCTGGTGATTACAAATGCCTTGCGGCCAACAGCGAAGGAAAAACAGCCGGCAATACAGTTAAACTGGAAGTGATGTGTAAGTTTGTTTAATCAACTCCCAAACATTTGAATAACAAGCCACCCTCGGTTTTTACCAATGGTGAGTCCCTCACTGATCAGTCAAGCCCCATTGGCCCCGATAATTACTTAATCGATTTTTCCCAAACAAAAACCGAAGGAAAAACGGATTGCCCGAGTGCCACACCCCGATAGTTAAGGTCAGGGTCGATGAGCACGGTTAATGCATAAAGGGAAGTGAGAGAAAAGAAATGAAAGGGAGAGGCGTTGGAAAGGGGAGCTAACGGTGGAAGTGAGAGAGTTGGTGGAGAATGGAAACGTGCGAAAACCATGAGAACTGGGGTGGGTTATTCTATTAGAATGATAGTAAGGATGAAGGAGTGGGGCATCGGTTGGGGTGGGAGGAAAAGGGAAAAGGCTAGTGGGAGAGGGACAGGTATATATGGCAGTCGGGGCATATCTGCATCTTGTAAATGACCTAAGAGGGAAGGAAGGACTGGCGATGCATATTCAATGTATGTAAAGCGCAAACTGAATATTCATGTGTGGGTGAACGCGCCGGTCTCGGCAATGTGCTAAGCCCTGGGGTTTCGGCTAGAGGAAAAGGGGACAAAGGGGGGCACAAGAGAGAGATTGGATATCCCAGAGAGACGGCGCCGAGAAGACATAGATTCGGTCTCATATCTGTCCCAATAGTTTGTACGACCACGACTTGGTTATAGGTCTGACACTAAATTTCACGTGTTTTGCAGAGGAATCAGTTTTCAGGGTGATTTTTTTTTTAATACGCGAGAGTTGGGGGGAGTTTTTGGGGGGACAATGAGATGTGGAGGCAATCGGATCGAACGATCGATAACAAAATCGTGGTGGGTATCAATGGAAATGGGTTATCGAGCGTCGATTGTACGATTCTATGATTTTAGCCGTAAATCAAGTAACTTGTGTGAGGGGGTGAGGATTTTGGGGAGTTACTGTGATTGGGAGTGTTGGGGGTGCTGGGGGTGTTGGAAGTGATGGTACTGGGTGAATATTCGTATCTGATTTTGAATATCAAACGTACGAAATGGAATTTCGGTTCGAGCGGATGGGTCGGATGATTCGTCAGCCTGGAGGGAGGGATTTTTTTCATTTTCATGAGCGCTTCGGGTCATTATGTTCTTTGTGTTTATTTAGGATTTTTCCGAGGGGGGGGGAGGAAGGGGGACGAGGGGTTATCTAATGGGGCACATGTGTTTGCGTTTGCCTCAGCAGATCCTTAATACGGGACCACTCGAGAAACCTCGTAAACTGTCACGAGCACTTGGGACTGGTTTTGGTATGGAGTTGACTGGTCTTCTGGGCATCTAAAAATATATGTGTGGATATGTTATGTAGACGGCTTGGGTTGATAGTTTGTATTCCAGTGTAACTTGTAAATCTCTTTTACCGGGGCGGTATATTTTATTAAAATATTCTGGAATGCTCAATCGATACTTGCCACTGAATATTCGATCGTTCGAGAAAACGGAATATGGATGGGAACTCTGGTCGACATGTGTTCCTCTTTGGATAGTGTTTTATGGTGATCGGGGCTTGTCTTCTAGATTTTGAGATTATTCTCACGGGGTTCTTTAAAAGGTCGGCGGGAATAGTCGCGTTGAAGAATGAATTCATTACGATATGTGAATGAACATTAACTCCAATGCAACGCGTGTATACTTCACAAGAAAGTTTTACATATATTTTTTATATATTTCTATCTCACTCTTCCCAAAAAGGGGATATCAGTAATTTGTGATTGTCTCGTGAATAATTTAACTAGGCGAGTATAGACGGGATGTCGAGTAAATTCGGTAAGATTCAGTCGGATATTTTTATCGGGGATGGATAACTCTGTTGGCATCTATTCCCAACCTCAAGTCTTCACTCGATAATTTCTGTGCATTCGTGATCTGTTATTTCGATATATCGATTATATTAATATTGAAAAATTTATCGAGGATAAATCGAGGAGCGACAAATGTCCACTGCATCAATTTCCCTTGAATGAGGATGGATTGCTTTTTCCTCAGACGTTCCAGTATGCAAAGAAGGAAAAAGTGAAGTTATAGTTGGTGCACTGAAACAGGAGACAATATCCTTGATATGCGCTGTGGAGAGTCACCCAGAGCCCCTGACATTCCAATGGACCTTCAATAATTCCGGTGAACTTGTTGATCTACCGCATCCCCGCACTCACGCATCTGGTGCGCCAAATAGCCAGAGTCCAGGTGAAAGTTTGAGGGAATATCAGCAGTATCATGGGCCAAAGCTCAACTATACACCATCGACGGATAAAGACTACGGAACATTGGCCTGCCGAGCAACCAACGAGCTGGGCAGACAACTCACGCCCTGTCTTTTCCAGGCAAGTTTATTCCCGCCACTTTCTCTCTGCTTTTCCATCTTTACATGTTACCTGTACGTTTTTCTCTTTCACCCTCATTCTTTTTTTCGCTTCCTCACCACCTTCTCCATCCCAGCACGATTTTTCTCCGCTCGGTTTTTCTACCCTTTTTACTTCACTACCTCTCGCAACTTGCATTGCGGATGGCAAGAGCTACTTATCCCTCTACAGAAAATATATTTTCCCTTTTTCGTGGTCGAGATACTCGTCTTAAACGCTCATCTGTATTTTTTTGTGCCATTTTTCCCAACTCTTGAGCATTGATATTTTCATAACGCATTAACCATCAGAATTCATTAAACGATTATCTCAAATGGCCCTTAACCTTGGTGGTACGTGTAATTATTCAGCAATAATCTCAGTTGAAGTAATTACGTGGAGAATTGGTGAGGATTCCGACGGTAATTAGACTGTTATTGCACTGTTATTTTTTACTGGAATATTTAACCGCTCGATTAAGTGACTTGTAACGATGTGCTTATGCCAGCATGATTTCCAAATATAACTTGTGGTTATCTCCGTCAAGTTTCCCTTTACGTTCTCCTTTTTTCCCCACCATCTGTGGCACATGGATTTTTTCTCGATGCATGAACCGTCGGAATTCATCATGAGATTACGGCAAATCATCCTAAACGCCTGTAATTGAGTAATTACTCAACAATAGTTCCATGGAGACTGATTAAATGAATAGTTAGTGAGCATTACAAGAGTTAATTTGGCTGCAATAGCGGATTACTCCCTCATTTTGCAGGTAATATCAGCCGGTAGACCCCATGCATTGCACAATTGCACAGCAGCTGAAATGTCGAATACAATCGAGATTGATGATTACATTGGTAAATCAGGGTCAGGGTTAACTGTTCACTGTTTGGAGGATTATCAGGGTGGTCTACCCACCCAGAGTTATCAGCTTGAAGTTGTTGGTGAAGAGGACGATGGAGAGATACTTTTAAATAGAACAGTGCCAGCTGGACCGAATGGACCCGTCTTTGAGGTCGCTGGCCTCACCGCTGGCAGAAGTTATCGATTGTTTCTATATGCAGTTAATAGCAAGGGTAGAAGTGAACCGACGATACTCGAGCCTGTCACTCTGAAGGGTGTCGCCATGTACACCACTGGTATGTTTATCTATATGTTTTTTTTTTGTTAGCTCTATTAAATTTGTTAAACTATGAATTTTTACGTCACTCTGTTACACCACTTTTCAACGAGGTGTGTTGCGAGCCCGTTATTTTACCTCGACGTGATTTAAAACGACAAAAATGGCGTTCGAGAGCCAACGAATTGATGTAGCACTAGTGCTAGATACCAAGTGGAAAATGAAAAATTGATGTCGATGATTGCTGCGGAGTTTTTCAAAAACTCGTTCATTCTCGTTGTCAATTAGACTCCCCTCTGTAAATGATGAGCCGTGAAAAATGGTTGTCCCTGTGATAATGGAGGCAGCCGGTTGTAAAATATCAAGTGGATAATGAGCTTTTCTAATTTGAATTTTTTTTATACCCCTGGTGGTACATAATCTATTTTTATTCGCGAAGCTTCGGTGGATTATTTAATCTCATTCTAAAATTTCGACTTGGATGTGAATAAAAATCCCATTGAATATCACAGGGATGTTATAAATTGAAGTCTATTGAATGCCACAGCATTGAAGATACCGTGAAAGCGTAACGAACCGTAACGCCTGGCCTCCCCCAGATATAATCGCTATTACACAAATAGTCGTAATGGTCGCGTCAGTATTGCAATTAGTGGGTTAACCATACTCACCCTTTCCCTCCCCCTCACTCCAACCATTCCCCTTCTTCCTTCAACCCACAACCAAACTACCCCGAATTGCAATAGGGTCGGACGAGCTAAAATCTGTCTCTCTTCCGCTCATCACCCCCTTCTCCCCAATTTCCAAACTGTTACTGCTGGACCCAGCACTGTACCGAACCGCAGGTATCGTGCTCTGCGGACCTTGCAATTAACAAAACAGGTTATCTTCGATCATCAAACATCCGTAGACATACCAATTTGTATACAACAGAGTGAATTACAAAGAGCTCGTTATTTTTCATACCCTCCAGTTAATCTTCATTGTTATGTGTTAAAAAATAATGTATAGCATGAAGTTTTTCATAAGTCAGACAGTGCGTGCACTCCCTTGCATGATTTTCCTTTTTTTTATGTATAATAAATCTTGAAAAATTGAATTTACCACACTCTACAAACTCATCAAAGTCATAAACTTGAACAAAAATATATCCGACAAATAATAGTGAATGAACGAATCGAATTGAATATTTAAATCTCAATCTCTCGTTCAAAGAAATAATTATTCGATATGAATTTGTTTGGTATTTACTCCTCCTAAAGTAAAAATCGTAATTCATTTTTATTGGTATATTTCAAAATAAGTGTGACAGGTTATTCAGGCGTGTAAAACAGTCGGCCCTAGGCTTCGCCTCGAGCAACCAATCGTACAATCTGAAAAATCCCATTGCACATGAATCGAACAATATTTATAGTCAGTGATGCTGAGATCAGCGAATGCTGAACTGTGCGTTTCCTCCTCCATACGTAGACGACAGGAGTTTTAATTTACGAATGAACGACAGGCGAAAATGTATTCTCGTGAGTATCATGGGGTAGTACGTTAAAAAAAAATGGAATAAAAAAATAATACGATCAGACGTGATGACAGAGGAGAATTGATTGGTGAAATTGTAACCCTTCAGGAGTGGGAAAATTGATCTCATGATGTACCTCGGTCGACAGGTACACAATGTTCGCGACACAAGGGTCGACCCACGGTATCCTAAACTCGTTTGTATCCAACCGGTCCTTACCGTTTTGCTCAACACAAACACAGGCTAAAATACATTGCAACACCAGTACAAGAACCCACCCCTTCCCACTGCGCCTATAATGCACTCCCCCGACTATATAATGAAAACTCATTGGTAACATACGGTACTTGGGTCAACACTGGGGTTAATTCTGTTTTCTGGTGTGATTTCCAACGCAATACTTCATCTCTGCTTTTCCCTTCTGCTGGTTTGTTCAAGTGACATTGGAGCATCGCTTTCCATTCCAACACCTGTCACAAGGTCTCAACACGCGTCTGCGTGATACGTCAGTCAAAAATCACTCGTCTCTTATTTTTTTTTATTCTCACATTTTTTTGCGCTGCACTCGGTCTCCGATTCCATCGCTCCAGCGAAATTGTGAAGGGCAAATATTGATTCTGGTGACCGAAATGTCCACCGCAATATTCCCCTGATTTGCCGAGATGTTCTCTCTTTTCGTTCTCTTTCACGAGAGGATAAGTGCTCGTCAGGTTTCAGTGATAAATCGTTCTTCTCGGCTGATACCCCAGTGATAGAGAACGTTTATTTAGTGTGTGAAATAATATTATTTGTCGTTCATCATCTGAGTTGATTGGAAATCGTTTCGATTTGACGTGTGTTCATGAGATTTCCTCGGATTTCCCCACCTATCCGTAATGAAGAGTGATTAATTGATATTCATTTCAGTTGTTTTTTTTCTATCGGACTGTAGCAGATGTAGTAGCAACACCTGGATGACAGAAGTGCTCGTCATCTTCTGAAACCAGGGGCGATTGGCTAGCACGGGGTCATGTTCAATCCATTAAGAAGATTAAACCCCAGTGGCTGTGAGAAAAGGGAACTGAAAGCGTAACGCAGACAGTAAAAGGAACACTTTCATTTAGCCGAAACTTCTAGGACATACCAAGTGCGTCTTCTTCTCGATTCATTGTTACACAGTACGAATACCAGTGAAATGACAGCGAGTGATAAGTAAGGAAGGTGGATGTGTGAGAGGGACGTGGGGCTGAGTGCGCCGGCTGAAATTGCCGTCGCAGCGTCAGTCGTGAGAAAAATAGCACCGTCTAGGGCTGGTGAATGGAGAAGACGTGAAATAAAAAAAGAGATTGGTGAAAGCAAGCGGGATTTGAGGGGTAAAAAAGTTAACCGAATGTCGAGACATTACGAGTGAAAAATTAATGGCTGTTTGGATAGTTCATTATGTTTGTTTATGCTATATTTTTTTCATAGCAAAACGGATTTTGGAAAATTGATGAGATGACTACGGTCTCCATGAATGTCAAATAGCATCAGCGATCGAATTGTGGGAGAGGGGGAGGAGTGGTAGGGGGCTGATCTTGTCCTTTGTACAGAATTCACGTATAACCCATACCCATGAACGTCTCACTGGGCGGAAACTTTGCCTTGAGCAGTCTACGGGGATGGGTTTGAAGATGCAATTCTTTTGAAATTGGTTTTTTCGGTGTACCACGGAATTGGCTAAATTTTTATTTTTTCCTGGACGCGTCCGCGCTCGCACACCTCTTGGAGATGGGATATCGTGATTGTTTTGGGATCAAACGATTTTTTGAGAGACCCGAGGGGGAAGAGTTTAACGAAAGATGGATTAAGGGGAGACTGCTATCAATGCCGAGCATCAGTAGTGATCGAAGTGATAGATAAAAATATAAAAGACTGATATAAACACCGAAAAATCATTTCGTTGCAACTCTTGTTTCATCATTTCTCGATTCAGATTTGGAGAGAATAGGATTTGATAAAGTAAAAGCCCCGAAGTTCCATTCGAAATAAATTCTATTGAACCCCCTCTTGATTTCTTGTTTTCCGCTTCAAAGTGGTACTTGAATTTCACGGTTAAAGGTTACGATCAATAGCCCCCCGGCTCATTTAGCCTTTCGCCTCTGATTGCAAATTGTTCACCTCGAAGTTTGCTCTCTTCCGGTTTAATTATAGCACCAGTGTGGTACCCACAATTCCACTCACTTGGACGGCGTAATGCCGGGCGTCTGCCTCTCCGCCCATTTCAACACAGAAAACCTCACCCCTCCCCTCCTTTCCACCCCCCCTGTCCCCCTCCTCCTTTGATATTACAGCGATGCCCATCCCTCGTTAACTCAAGTGCATATTCGAAAGGCAAAGAGAGAATGTACAACATTCTCATTAAATATAACTGAAGGAGCAACAAAGATTGGAGAAAGGGAAGGACAAAAATTATTAAGAGAAATTGTTTAATGAGGACGCAATCGTGAGACTCCTTCAGGATCTTCAATAGCGTTTAGCATAGTGATGTGAAAAATCCCTCGATTTTTCATGGACATGTCACGGATTTGTTATATGACAGTGAATAATGACCTTCTTGTATGATCAATGAAAAAGACGCATGAATGGTGTTATCGGTAGCACTGAGCCATTCGAAATGCTCCATATAGTATGGAATAGTGGCATGTTGTCGATGGTAGATGCAGCGAAGCCCGTAGACCAAAGAGGAAGCCTCACTGCGGATAAGCTCTGGACGTTAATTGATGTAATTATACTCTCCTTGCAACTCACCCCCTTCACCAATTGCTATCATCCCCGTATGCCTGTCCATGTATGTGCAATCATCCACGGAATACACGTTTCTCTCATTGGTAATACACATACAAGCGATCTAACAGTACAGTAGGGTTATATCCGGCATACTGTAGTGCAACAGGACACGCATCTATTTATGTACCCATGGTCAACTGTAATAGCAACGTAATAGACATAGCTTCGTTAATTATCGTTGTGCTTATTAAGCCAAGGCAAACTTGCTATTCCATTACTATGGTGGTTGGAGATATGATGGTACAGGATATCGAGGCGTTAAACTATGAAGCCATCCAGCTGACCAAGGAAAATGGTGGTTACGCTCATATATCCTGTCCCGTGTCATCCATTCGGTGCGTTAATGCTCACCGCGGATAACGACCAGACTCGAGACATAGTTAACGGTCTCCATGCAGGAGACATTTTCATTTCATCCAGTTGATGGGTACATTGTCCACTCTCTCGGTATCGTCCTTTCAAAAACCCAGGGTAGTGCAATAATAACGCTCCATGGAGGTGGTCGTATAACCCCGGCTCATGGTAACTGAAGTGGAATTGACTATTTGGATTAATTTAATGCAGGTAATACGAATGCATCGTTGCTGAGTCCGCTGTTGCTGGGTCTTGCTGCAATTGCAACGTTACTTGCACTAGCGGTCGCTGGAATTCTCGCTGCTCTATACAGGAAACACTCCGGTGGTAGATCCGGAAGTCCCAAGCATGCACCAATCGTCTGTGAGGCACCAAATACTGGTGCAACTACACCCGTTCATCCGGCCAACAAGCAGTCGGTTGATGACATTGATCCGGATATCATCCCCAATGAGTATGGTAAGTCTCTTTGGATATTATACAGTCTCTCCATTCACTCCTCAACTTTTCAATTACTATCTGTAATTATGAATGATTCCATTAATCAAAAGTTCAGTGCATCGTTCATTCAATCACTCGATTTGTGTCTGTGTGCGATACTATTTTAACAGACTGTGGGGGAAACGACTCGTCCAATCGATTCCCATAATCGGTTTATCCATCATACTGACTGTGAATGGCTTCTGGAAATCTGTTTTACAGAGCGAAGACCCTTGACGTATAACCCAGTCTACAAAACGCCACCTCAACGACGGAGGAAAGAACGTGATATGGATGATGGTACGTCGCTCGAGAAGAAGCCCATTGTCGAATCAAGTATGGACATGCATTCTGATCAGGATGTGAGGCTGATGGATGGATCGTTATCGCCCACGATAAACTATCCGCAGAATCATGTGCATCAGAATACTTACAGTCAGGCACCCACAATGGCCGACTTCAAGCAGATGGCGATGGACGCTTACAATCAGAGGAATCATCAAAATGTGAGTTGTACCAGATAATGGTCTAATATAATAATCGATAAATTATATGAGAAGAAAAAACATCAGTTCATTTTATATCAAAAAAATCCAACAGTTGTACAAAATAATTGTGCGTCTCTCTGAAATTTTTTGATTTATTATGAGAATTGAATATTATTATTATATATTAAATGGAATATTTAGTAAATTCAGATTGGCAACCAAAAATTTAATGAATGCATTAAAGCTTCCGCAGCAACATACATGGAAATTTAATTAAAATTCTGCATGGTTAAAATATCAAAATGCGATATCAATTTTCAATAAATTCCCAGTCGATTCATTAATTGAGCATAAACTTTGATTAAACATGAATAAAAATACAGGAAATGGTCATGAACAAATAATGTCACCTGGAGATTATCAAAGTCGAGTATTCATTTCACTCAAGTATTAACTCAGGAAAAAAAAAATGGGAAACACAGGACTATAGAGCACTCAGTTTACCATTTTCAACAATGAAATTCACCTCACGATTCCGCAATATCCTGACTACAGTAATTTGCACGAAACGGAGTCGTTCGCAGGGGAGAAGGTGGAATAGGGGATAGGTGAAAAGAAAAAAAAAATAGACACAGTCAATGAAGAGATAAGGGTTGCTTTTATTGTCCGTCGATCGCCATTTGTTCTGATAAATGTCCCTCTCCCCGGTAGCCAATCGTCTGGTCTAACCACCGCTGGTTTTTTCTCCATTCTCAAAATGTTTGGTACTAAAATTCTCCCCCCCCATTCTCATATAAATGGCAACAGCTGTCCTTTTTTACTTCATCCCGGTGTTGAAAACTTGCGAGACCCTTATCTGTTGGGATACAGACTTGATCGATATTTCGACACTTATACGAACGATTGGTGATAGAGAAGGAGATTGAAAATGGCTATCAAACACAGACAAACCCCGAAAAAGAGAGGCCAGACATCAATTCTGAAGCCTCAGAAGTAACCGCCCATGATAAAATGCTGCGTTGAATGAGCATAGAAATTGGTTGATGCTTGCTTTCATGAATAGAGGGAAAAAGGTAAAGAGGAGAGACTTTTTTTTTGGGTAAAAATGAGGGCAAAAGGAAAACGATACAGTTGCAATCTAATGCATGAGACTCGGCCACTCTAACTTTTCCGGTTTAACACGGGCTCTCGGTTATCTGAGCTCCCACGAGTTTAATTACCCAAAGTTTTCTCGATAATTTGCAGAGGAAACGGCGAGGGGGTGGGGTGTGAGGATGAGATGGAGAAACGCGGGGTATATACATACACAACCTTCTTCGCTCTTGTGGATCTTTTTTTTTTTCGAGCTCTAGGTGAATTTCCTTTTTCCTCGAGGTGGTATAGCCTTTACAGGGATGGAAAACCTCGAGTGTCTTGTGCAATATGTCGGGGGTTGATGTATGCTTTCAACTCGACTGTATTCAATTCGGTTTATAGTATTGATGGGGAGTAGTCGATTTAGGTGGATTAAAAATTCATGTTAAATGGGGATCGTTTAGGTTATTCGTGTTACTCGGATTTTAGAACCGGTTTAGTAGTGACACTAAATGGTTGTATCGGATTTCGAGGAGTCGTGATTGAATTACAATGCTTTCATTCCGAAATAAAAATCCGTAAAAACCGGAGTTTTGGTGTATCTCTTAATTAAATTTTTTTTCATTCAAATCGTTCACGTAATCTCTCAGGATGAAATAAAACTTTGAAACTTCGACTTAAATTATATACCTGAAACTTCTATGACAGTATTAATTACGAGCCCATTACCCAACGCCTAAATTCTACTAATCCAAGTTTCTCTGATTTAAAAAAAAAAAAAACAGGTATATTACAGCTTGCAGAGGTCGAGCAAGGGATTGGGTCCAATATCCCAGAGGCCGGTGTCCTCATCCCTCTCGGCGCACGGAAAGTTTCACCAACCGGAAGTGGTCACACGCTCGAATCGAATACAGGAGAGTTGTATATGAAGAACACACACCGAGAAGAACGGACTAGGCACGATGGTGTAGAGGTTCCACCCCCCGTGAATGTGAGCCCTGGTGTTATTTCACTGTGTATTTTATTATTTTTTTTCTCCTTCTCTTTCTCATCCACTGTTGAAGTGGGGCATTCACGCGTACCCCGTCGTACACACGCGTACGATCGAGAAAAAATGTTTTTGCGGACCAGTGGCCTGCGTCAAGAGAGAAAAAAAAAAGAGAAGAGGCATAAGGGGTGGAAACAAGCGAGATGTGAAACACTCGTTGGTTCACTGGGCACAAAAGTGAATTTGTGTTTATGACGAAGAAACAAAGAGAGATAATGAGAGATTTTTGAGAATATTAAAATGTTTTTTATTCGATGTACAAATTAACACCTGACTAACGTAATTCGTGTTTTTATAACGAGTGAGAGACGAGTGAATGCAGTGGTTGTAAGTAGAATTTATAATAGTTTGTATACACGTTGAATTTTTATATATCTCCCTCCGAAATTAATGACTTTTATCGCGTGAATGGGAATTACTGTCGGTTAACTCGGGGTTGCAGGTGAAATGAAATGAGTCCCGAGAGGATTGATGAGAATTTTCAGGATATATCGACAACCTCTCCAGTATAACAAACTGGAGATCATTATAACGAAGGAAAAAACCTCGAAGCAGTGGATTGGGGGGAAGAAACCGATGAATCGATACGTCTGTTCTGTCCAGTGCACGAGGAAAAAAAAAATTGAAGACCCCAGTGTCCACCACTCGAACGTGACAACATTGAACCGATGGTTACGAACTTTTTCGATAGTTACCGTGTACAAGTGTCACTCTCATATGTTTTCAACATCCCGCGACTAACTATCTCTGTTGCCGATAAACCGAAGCGTCAAGTGTGTTCTGTGTGTTTGGGAATCTCGTCGCCAAAATAGATTTTTGTACAAAGCTAGTGATGAATATTAAGGTGAAATAATTAATATAAATCGAGTTTTGTTAATCTTGTTGTAAATATACATGAGAGTCTGATAATAGTTTAATTAGATAATTCCAAATGAATGAGACAACTGTAACATACTAACGAGAATATACGAATAAAGAGGGAAATTTTCCCTCTCGTCTGTTTTACAATGCACCACTTTATTGTCCACTGACTCTTTCAGGTGTATTATCACTATTCCTCCTTATATCGTAATACATTGTCCAGAGATGGAGTGTGGAAGATGCTGCCCATGAAATCCCATTGAATCACCTTGGAAATATCCCACGAAAATGGTCTCCGGAAAATTCCACGATGTACGTGACTCGAATGGAAGGGAGTTGCTCATCCCCTCCCACCGTTTTCCAAGTGGCTACTTCATCGTTTACCCGTTCGTCGACCTTCATCACTTGCTACGAGATTGAATGGCACTAGTGCAAATATATATCCACCCGATTTTTACCAAAGGAGTTGCACAAACCCCAGAGGTGAGACCAATGCCAATTGCTTTTTTTTTATTTTTTCATTATCTAGGACTGAGAGTGACAATAGGCAGTATTTAATTTCTCGTCCATTCAAAATAATAATTCTGACGATCTCCAATTTTCGAGACAAACTGAATAAATTTTTCCATCAACCGAGAAGAACAAAATATTTTTCATATAACAACGAAGAAAATCTCATTGAATTACATCCCCGAAATGAGTTATTAATTTATATAATAATATAATATGATAATAATTTCCAATTATGGATTATCAGCCAAACTCGCGAAACTGAAAGCGAATTAATTTGATAAATTAGTCGCGATTAATGGACTCATCACTTTGTTTTTGTTAATTATAATTGGGATTGAATTTGCGATTAATTATTCATGGATAGAAGGTTTCCATCGTATCATTGAATTTGCCTTGGTAATGTGGGAATAAATAATAAATAGAGGCGGCACCACATTGTCAATCGGTGTTACGTTAACCGGCGTGAACTGTTGGCAATTAAATTCATCGAAGGACTCCGGTGGATCCGCAAGGAGAACAAGAGTGAGTGGTGCATTTTGGTGAGGTGGAGGGTAATTCGAGAATACCCCGGGGTAGAACACCCCGAGAGTTACAGTGTTTGCATACATTGTGCACCCTCGTCTGGCTAACAGGGTAACCAGGTCCCCTTTACCCTCACCTTCGGTAATACCCCCGACCACCTAGAATCGGCGACTTCCTCCAACCCCTCAGCCATTATTCTATGTGCCAACGTCTCTAGGGCTGTTACGACGACCCACTCTTGCATCCTCCGTCCTTGTTACCCTGGCTCTTTCAGGCTACGTCTTCGTACCAGTTTCTACTCTATATACATATAATCACTATCCAGTCGAGCATTATAATTGTACGACATCGCCCTTCAGTTAACCTGTTATCATTGATTATTCACTTGGTGAACCAAGTGTTTTCACCGGCAATGTGAGCCTTGTCCTTTTATTTTATACACAGTTGAGCATTTTTCGTTCAACCTTCTGACAACATCCCAATTTTTTATCGAGCACTAACTATTTGGATTATTCGATTGAAATTAATAATAATAATTGAGAATGGGTCAAGCGGAAATATCGCGCGGTCTGACACCGTCATGAAATCCTTCAAAACATTAAAAGGAGAAAGGAAATGTATTTCGAAATATCTCGAGTGATCGTATGGGTAGGATCCGTAAGACGAAACCGAAACCGTCTTGTATTATTTGATCCCGTTATTTAAACCAATTGAAGAATTTCAATATCGGACAAAATATATTGATGATGAAAATCCGAAACAAATAGATCAGCCTATTACCCTTCAAAGATTAATCCCTTCTCGAAACTCCCGTACCAAAAAACGTGATAGTTAAAAAAATGTTGAGAGGCAAAACGCCTTTAAGTGGAATTATCCGATCGTGACAAGACATCCTAAACGATGCAATTCCGATAGCTGATCATTACTCACTGGAGCGATCACCCCATTAAAACACCGTAGATTTGTTCGTAAAACGAGAGATCGACGAGTGAAAGAAAGAAAAATAACGAATCGCTGGAAAATGAAATGGTAGGAGTACAAAAGGGCGAGCCAAACAGTGAATTTCGTCTAACAGAGTAACCGAGGGGATCGTTAACGACAACCATTAGTCCAAGTGATGACTAAGTGACAAAAACTTGAAATAAATCCGAGATAAATATCGGAGGGTCTATTTATTCTTCTTCACTCCGAAATGGCCAAGTGGTAACTATCGCCAGTGAATAATCGAGGATCGATTGTAGTTGAATGAACCATGAGAGCCCAAGAAGCTATGTGTGTTTAACGAAACACTCTGTAGCTTGCCAACCTGAAATTAACATGAATATTTGAACTAGTAGGTGCTTCATCGATCCCAGGGTAAAGGCAACTGGTCTGCCTGGTGTCGGTTGCACGGAAATCGATTCCACGGGGCGTATAAGAAAATCGCCTGACGTGTGAGATCACGGATAAATCGTGATTCCGAGAGGGTGAAGAGAATTTTCCACCCACCCTTAAACGTCACGTTTAAAACGAGCTGGCGATTTATAGCACCCGGCGATTGTTCCTGAATCCAAACTGACCATTCGATGGGACTTGCCGAAATCAGAGATCACTGATTAAATTTTCGTCGTAAGTCACAGAATTCGAAAATCCACGAGGATTTATTTTTTTTATTTTGTACCGAGTGGGAAATTATTTCGAAATTTTTTACAACAATGAGATATGATAATGAGGATCAGTGGTCGAGAAGTCGTATCTTCTACGAGATGCCATAAATTTCAATTTTTCATAGTGTCATTAACCGATGGGTCAACGAATGCATAAAGTAATGTGCAAATTTCATCGGTGCACGTGGAATTAGGATTCAACTCTTTTTACGACACTTGGGAATAGATCTTTTACGATTTTTCTTCAATCCCATGTGAGCTGGCTTACTCTGACCTTCATTCAAAATGCAACGGAGTTGGTCAACCTCACGGGCTTTGCACACCATGGCTATCTCTTTCAACTGGTGGTATCAAAGCCCGAGAAAAAGAAAGGTGTAAAAAAAAAGGAGAGGATCATGGACGGAGAGAATACAACAATGCTGTCCAGATAAAAAAGGTAACGTTGGAGTTTCTTTCTCCTACTTGTTGTGGAATGGTATAAAAATCGTATGGGTTGTGCCCACGGGATACAACACAACTGGACAAAAATTTTAACGTCACACCACCAGTGACACTCAGTAGTCCAACTTTACGAATACACAGACAGTAAGTGTTGGATTGAGTATGAGAGCCAGGGAAAAAGTTACCATTGAACTTTTACCCTCCCCTTTATTCAACTGGGTGTGGAAAAGTTAAGTGCCGTCAGTCGCTCTGTCTCTGGGCCCTGCCTCCCCCAGAAGATGCTTGTGTGTTACTTCTCAACAAGTAAATCGTTCTTCAAGTACTCCTGGGGATTGACGCTTTTACGCCCCGTTTTAACATGAAACTGACAAAAAAATAAGTTGACGACGATATTCTCACGATTACGAAAAAATTCTTGTTTTAAATTTCACTGTTTGAGTCGGAATTGCTAGTAACAGGAAGTAGAACTGCCTCCCAGTGCAATTACTAAAGTCTTCTCTCAATATTTTCATCATTATCCCGTCCCTTCAGTCTTCACAATAAAAACATTTCAGGAGGAAATTAACCTTCGGATCATAATTAAAATTTGTTATTCTCTGTTTTATACGGAGAGTACTTGTCTGACAGATTAGTTCCACGAGTCCTCGGCTTGGATATTTAATATTTCCAAGAAAATCTGTCTTCATAGTATGACGCTAATACCCCAGTTTTTAACCCCATTGACGTACCCCACGACCCTTGAACCCACGTAGATGAGACGTCAGACTTGCGGTTATTTCAACAATGATGGTAGATCCACTTGTACCGGATAATATGCTTCATTATGGCAAAAACCTTTCGTTTAAACTTCATTCCGTATTGAATTACCCCAGACATTTTAATTACGATATCGAAAGTTCTTGAGTATTCTTCATCTCCAATTTAATAAATGAGAAACTAAACTCCATATATTTAGGCTTCATGCCAATTTCATCGAGTACTGTAATAATCCCTTCTTTATTATATCCCGTGTCCACGGCTGGGAAACCGTAAACGAAGGGTTCTCTCGTGGTTTGGGTGATAATATACCACCACTCAACATTTTGTGGCTTGCACATAGTGCATAAATATTGCATCC